AAGATTATTAGTAATCTTGGTTATTGCTAAATAGAATAGTAAACCTTCAAGATTATTAGTAATCTTGTTTATTGCTAAATAGTATACTAAACCTTCAAGATTATTAGTAATCTTGTTTGTTGCTAAATAGTATACTAAACCTTCAAGATTATTAGTAATCTTGTTTGTTGCTAAATAGTATACTAAACCTTTAAGATTATTAGTAATCTTGTTTATTGTTTAATAGTATACTAAACCTTCAAGATAATTAGTAATCTTGTTTGTTGCTAACTAGTATACTAAACCTTTAAAGATTTTTAGTAATCTTGTTTGTTGCTAAATAGTATACTAAACCTCTAAACTCTAAATTATTTTTTGGGAAAACGACAAACATTCAAAAATTATAAGATTTACAAAAAATTTTCTAATTTGTAAAGAATCGATTTAATAAGCACTTCTCCGAGTGTATAATTAACCCTCAGTCCTCTATAATTTGTTCTCTAAATTTCAAAACATCCATTAATTAGAACTTACAATGGAAGTAGTTGTGACCCAGTTCACAATACTTTATACCAAATAGATTCTAGTACAATAGATGCCAACGTACAATTTTTACACTCTCAGTATATCTATATTCTGACGTCACAAGTGTAAATTTCGTTTTTTTGTGGGACAAAATTATTATCAAAAGTGATAACTTAAAATAACGTGCTTATCTTACGATCAAATAAGTGTAATTTATGGGCTCTTTAGTTTCTGTTTTTACACTTTTTCATTTAGGAAACCTTGTTAACCAATGTAAGAAAATTTCGTTTTCCTTGTTATATTTGACACTTGTAACGTCGTGTATAATTGATCCATTTCTCTGTTGCCACCTATTGTACTTGATATTCTTGTTATATTTGACACTTGTGACGTCGTGTATAATTGGTCCATTTCTCTGTTGTCACCTATTGTACTTGATATTCTTGTTATATTTGTCACTTGTAACGTCGTGTATAATTGGTCCATTTCTCTGTTGCCACCTATCGTACTTCATCTATTTTTTTCATATATAAGTAGAGTAGGTAGGTTGCGATCTATCAGACCTAGAGACCTAAGTTTTGGGTCTATGCCCATTGCCCAGTCATTGTCGCATAAATCAATACAATGAAGATGAATTAATATTTTTTTTTGATTTCTCACACCAATCTTTCCAACAGCTGAGACATGTTCACCATTATCAACTTCTTTTTGTTTACTTGTAAACTAGTAATTTGAAAAATTAATGTATAGGGATCAAAGTACTTTTTAATAAAAAGTCGTCTTTATTTGATTGATATAATTGATGACCACTGTAGATACAGGGTTACCAACAAAGAATGAAAATTTAATAAACTTTTATCGATCAAAAGACTGAATTTTGTTTCCTTCCTTCCATACTGTATTCTTATAATATTCTTAATGAATAACAAACGACGAAACAATTGTTAAAGGGAACCAGGAATGTAAGATTAAAGACCGAGCAAATGCCGTACAGTCATCTCTGAGGTCTCATCCTTTGTGGGCAACCCTGTATATTCCCGTATGGCTGATATAATTTAACGATTCAGTCGCTATGCCAGCAAACTGTCACTTTCGATCCCGATTTTATCAAATGAACCAATAAAACATAGTTTTGTTCTTCTATTGAAAATATTTTTTGTCTGCGGATGCTTTTCAACTAAAAAAAGTATGACAAATCTGCATGTTTAAATAATTGAACAAAAGTCAAAAAGCGATTGAATTCAAATTTGAAAATGAAAAGTCCAGGGTGTGTCAATTGTAGATTTTTATAATAAATTACATTTCCCAGCTTTGAAAAATACTTTATATCTGCCAATGGCCAACGACCCATGTACTTTTTTATTTAATGTGTTTTGAAGGGCAATTGTTCAAAATTATAACATTAAGTGTTCATATCGCGTAATACAATCTGGGCACTAGTTAAGGTGGCATTTGGGGGCAAAGTGCCAGTAAGGATTTTTATCTTAAATATCCAATGCAAGAAATAAAATTGAAGCGTTATGACAGAAAAATCTAATTATATAAGTTTGAAAATTATAAAGTTTCAATCTAGTTTTTATAGAATCTCAAGTCCATTAGGAGCTGTCAATTCTGTCTCTCAGAAAACAGAGCTTAAAAACTTTTTGTTTCCAACCAACCAATCATAAAGATCCTACCGATCCTACAAAAAAATCCTCTAAAATAATTTGATACATACTCTCCCAACCCGTCCCCCACCCCACCCCCTAACCCGAGATGTAACATATTAAGTTCATCTGCATTAATAAAGACCAAAGATAACCCGTAAAGATAGAACTTGTGAGGTATTTTACTAGATAAACAGAGGTATCCACAAAGGATGAGTATGTAGACACTCCTGTATGCCGAGTCCATTAGCGCCTGATCCAATAAGGGTTCAGTCATGTGTTTGCTGTCTTTTCTAACCAATAGAAATAGTATGGGGGTAACATCTATCTTTCTATATATCTCATTATCCAATCAGAATTCAATCGGCGCTATCAGTAAATGGAAACATTTACTTCTACTGAAACTATAAGTATATATATATATACTATAACTATAAGTATATATATATATTCTACTGGAGAATCTATACTGCCTTTTATTTACACTTTGGGTTCCCTGTAGCTGCCAACCTGACTCCTTCATGACCAAATTATTTAAGACACCATTAAAAGACTATTTTTAAGCCGGAAGGAGTTTTTAAGGAGTTTTAGGTCGTCATCAAAGTGTAAAGTCTCATGGTTTGTGGGTAACACCCCCCTGGAGCCTTCCCCTCCGACTTTTACTATATGGAATGTTTGTGGTTCTAAATTATACTGGTGCAGACTGTTTAGTTGATTTAGTGTCAGATTCTAGGTATATAATACCGTAGCCACGCCATACCAGAGTAAAAATATTTCAGGTATATAATACCGGAGCCACGCTATACCAGAGTAAAAATATTTCAGGTATATTATACCGTAGCCACGCTATACCAGAGTAAAAATATTCCAGGTGTATTATACCGGAGCCACGTTTGACCAGATTAAAAATTCCCAGGTATTTCTTACCGGAGCCACGTTTAACCAGAGTAAAAATATTCCAGGTATATTATACCGGAGCCACGTTTAAGCAGAGTAAAAATATTCCAGGTATATTATACCGGTGCCACGTTAAACCAGAGTAAAAATAATTTCAGGTATATCATACCGGAGTCACGTTTAACCAGAGTAAAAATATTCCAGGTATATCATTCCGGAGCCACGTTAAACCAGAGTAAAAATATTCCAGGTATATAATACCGAAGTCACGTTTAACCAGAGTAAAAATATTCCAGGTATATAATACCATATCCACGCTATACCAGAGTAAAAATATTCCAGGTGTATTGTACCGGAGCCACGTTTAACCAGAGTAAAAATATTCCAGGTATATGATACCGTAGCCACGCAATACCAGAGTTAAAATATTCCAGGTGTATTGTACCGGAGCCACGTTTAACCAGAGTAAAAATATTCTAGGTATATAATAAATGGCTGCACGTTTAATTAGAGTAAAACAATTTCATGTTTAATAAAAGATACACTCTTAATTAGATTAAATGAAACTTTTATTAAAAATTAAGATTGTTTTTAGTTATCACTGTTCTTAGTTTATTGTAAACGGAAGTAACCGGGAAAAGTTCATTTTCCTGTTTCGTGATTAAGTACTGAAGGATGAAGGCAGTCATAGTCGTACATTTGTTTTAATTTCTTTAGCATAGTTGAACTTGTGTTTAAACCTGGGGTTGGGACACACATGCGATGGAATTTTGTCAATTAATTATCAAGAAGCTAAAAGCAGTATACTTTTTATGCACAAAAATGTAATTGTAACATTTCAGGTCGATAGTTCGACTTTTCTTAGCAGTCTGTATCTTTGTTCATCCTTAGTTGGTAAAATGCAGTTTGAAGAATCAATTTAGAGATCTATTTAAAAATCTGAGGGTTAAGTCCACTTGGAAAATTAAATTTATTTTCATTCATTTTATCCTTTCATTCATTAATTTGCTGGAAAAGAAAAGAAAAAGTTCAAGATTTTAAAGAGGCTAATCCGTATTCTAATCAAAACATTACTAAAAATATGGATTTAATTAAGATTTTAAGATTTAAAAATCAGTTGAAGCAGTTTGAGAGCAGTACATGATAGGTTTTTAACTTTAAAGATTAGAAAACAATAAAACTCTTAAAACAATCTTTATTTTGAAAAGAGGGAGGATTTAAAGTGCAATTTTTAAAGAGACATCAGAAATGTTGAAAATCCTTTTTAAATCTATTCAATATAGTTCACCGTGCATTTTTATGTATTTAACTTATGTTTTAACACTGTTGGTAAAATCTGTTTTGCCGGGTTCGATTTAAAGATCATTTTATATATTTTAATAACTTTAATTCTTCAACCTTTCAAGTAAATTACCACTAAACCTACCGGCGCGGTGGGGGCGTTGCAGCTTAATTTTTTTAAATCTTGCTTTGTCGGATTGTAACTATCTGGTGTGAAACTAATCCAACAAATTCTTCAAGCTTCTATTTCTTGAAAAGCGGTTGAAATGAGATATTCGCTAGACTGAACCCTGTTAAAAATGCTAAACATTTTCCCCCACATTATGATTATGTTTATGCTAAAAATTATTGCAAGACATGATTAACAAAGCTATGTCACAGCTTAGAGTAGAGCAGTAAACCCTATTCCGTTTCCTTTATTATATTCGTCCTTAGTATAGTCTTTATGTCTTTTTCAACTTACGGTCTAGTTAATATATATTTACAAACATGTCAATATCTTAACATCTTTTTAACCCTGTTCTGCATGTACCCCCTCCGACCTTTTTTACATCAGGGTTAAATGTCTTAATCTTAACCCCATTTCCGCTTCAAAAAAAGAAAATATCTGGTTTTGTTGATTATTTGTAAAATATAGTCTAACCTATAATAAATATAAAATTATAATTTCAGATAAACTTAAAGAGAGAGAACTCATTGAGCAATGGTGACACCGGGTACTTCTTTTCTCTTCATACTTATAATCATTCACAAAACATATACATTAGGTAGGTTGCAATCATAATCATTCACAAAACATATACATTAGGTAGGTTGCAATTATAATCATTCACAAAACATATACATTAGGTAGGTTGCAATTATAATCATTCACAAAACATATACATTAGGTAGGTTGAAATTATAATCATTCACAAAACATATACATTAGGTAGGTTGCAATTTCTTAAACTCTCAATAAAGGGATAGTTAACTTTTAGGTTAATATGTTGCCGTGCCACAAACTCTAAATTTTTAAACCCTTTATCCATAGAGAATAGAGTATATATTAGAGAGGTATTTAAAGAAACTCTCGGTATGAATTTTTTCAGTCCCTTTCAGCCTGAAAGGGAGTTCACAGTGTACAAATCATGTAAATGTTCACAAATTATATGCCGTAGAGTACATTAATACAGTATGTTCCCTACACTTTTCATTTCAATGTCGAATTTTTTAAAGCTGTTAAATAAACTTTATAATGAATTAGGTGAATAAAAATATCATTTGATGTATAGTTATTTATAACGGAAAATCATCGTTTGTATTGTGAAATGATCATTGGTCAATTATGAAACCAGCCTATTTCATAATTTGATTTTCTTTTATAACAACAATTTTAGATTTTCTATAAAATGATATTCCAGGGCCCAAAATGTTATATAGCATATATATGTGAAGTACACCTTCAGTATGGAAACAGTACAACAAAATGGCCGTTTTACACTTTTTTCTAGTAAATTCCCCTCTAATATATATTCTATTCTCTATGCCTTTATCTTTGCCAAGTTATAGGGATTAAAACTGCATCACCTGTTAATTGTCTTACGTTTACTAAAATATTAAAATACAACCAATCATGGAGGAGGATAGGACTAAACCAGTTTTCGAATTTTATGAATTTGAGCCGCGTCTCAAATCCACCAAAAATCGGTTTCAATTGAGCGCCAGCTTAAATCTTGAAAAATTGAAAACAATTTTCTATTAAACCAACCATATTTGAGCCGCGTCTGAAATTTGAGCCGCTACTCAAATTCTTTAAATTCGGCCTTAGTACAAAGAAACAGAGTTTTTATCACAAACTTAAATGTAAAAGTGTAATTGTTGCTTTAACAATTGCACTTTGTTGCTCTTGGGGAAGTTATAGGTTTGTAATTTTGGTCAAAAGGCGGTAAAAATCGTGATTATCTTCTGAGACATTTTTGAGCGGGTTGAAGGCTCCTTATTGTTCCAAAATAAAATAAGAGTATTTTTATATATAATAATCTCTTTCAATAAAAAAAAATAAAACACTTTTTCAATTAATTTTTGCTCCTTTTGGACATTTTTATAGAAAAAAGATAAAGACATTCAAACGCCCTAAAGACATTTTCATTTCGAATTTAAATTAACCTCTCCGGAGACAGGGGAACCAACTCAGGGGAACCAACTCAGGGGAACCAACTCAGCCCGTTTTGAGTGGATTTATTGTAAATCTTTTCTGGTCATTCTGTTTAAAAACTTTGCCGTTTGTTATTCTGAGTTTGCAATTTTGTAAAATATCCATATTTTGCAACTTTCTAATTATAAATTCTATAAAGATTTGTGCTGACCATGAATGGATAAAATATTAACTTTCTTAATTAAATATTTCTTTTTACACATTTTTCAGAAATATTTTTTTAAATTTTTAATTATATTTGAATTATTTATTTATTCAATATATTTCAATTTTTCTCTTTGATATTTTGACAATAAAATAGAATCGTCAGAAACAATTGTTTAAAATATAAAGTCTGAATTAAAAATAAATTAAAGATTGCAAGGAAAGAAATCAAGTATGGCATTATTGAAATACTTTTAATTAGAAAATTCAGCAGAAACGTTTTATACGCTGGGATCCATATAACTGTGGAATAGGAAGACGACATTTATTAATGTTTTATGTATTTAATGTTTAATTTTAATTTTATGAGAAAACTTTAGTGTTAACGGAACCAAATTGAGGGAGAGCAGAAAATTGGTCAAGAGTTTAAATATTCGACATATGAGTGATGAGATAATAATAAATTTAACTTATTCTAATCGATTCAAATTAGCTCGTTCCGCCTGAACGGGATTTAAAGTGATTCTCCATACTTAGAAAATTCATAAATGTGGGTTCTCAGTCATAGCGGATTAAGCATATAGACTAACGGGGATATCATCCTAATTCTCACTCAGATTAAGGTTTCAAATCAGGGTCTCTTTGTGATTCGAACAAGCCATTCTTTACATGGTGTCAAAATTATAACGAGTAGAGTCCTATTTAGGTCATATATATTGTTAAACAACTTGACCTCATTTCTTAGAATTTCATTACGATATAACAATGCAGTTTCCCCAGCGCGCAGCATTGAAACCGAATTTATCATTTACTATTTAACATTAAATCTAATACACTATTCATAAAATTAAATTGAATGAAATTTTATTATTAATTTTTTTAGACGGAGAAGAAATGCGTCTACGGCACTGGAATGGATTTGAGGAAAAGCAATAAAGAAATTGTCAGTTTCATTTATGTTTTCGTTGATTAATAGGTTTTATATATTCTAATTTGACTTTGATTTTTTTTTATATTCTATTCTTTTGAATAATAAATATAGCAATAAGTGTTAAAAAAGTAATAAGACAATTATTAAATTTAAGAATTTTTTAATTTGTGGAGGCTAGACGTCTCTGCGAAGTAAAGCAACGAAGTTTGGGTTTTCATAAAAGTGTGCTGTTTATATTTATTGCTTGAAATTTAAGAACCTTTTGGAGAAGGGAACTGGGAACGTGTTCCTGACACCTAACAACACCTTAGTGGTCGGGAACACAGGAAACACCGTCACACTCCCCTGCAACGTCAACATGGAGAACAGATACGGGGTGGTCAGTAATTACTATTGTTTTTGTTTTAATATGTTTATGTTTATTTATTTTTAAACAATTTATCAAACCATATCTAGCTTAAAGAGGTTCATGGACAAAATTTAAAGAGAGATTTGAGAATGTTACCCTTTCAACCTCTAACTGAATATAATTGAGAAAAAAATCGTATTTTTATATACATAAAAATGGTTAAATTATCACGATTTCCTCAAATATTTCTAAAAGCAAAAATCACAATTGACATCAATATATATATATACATATATATGTGCGTATATTAAGACCTATTACAACTTAAGATGATTTTAAATACGGTGTTAGGCGATAATATCAATATAATGAATACGACTTTTTAAAAAAGTTTTTATTATTAACAAGCTTTTTTCGAATTGCAAGTTCACAAGTGATCAAAGAGTAGCTTTTTTAATTGGCAGCTTCTCTTTGTTTCCATTTTTCGTGGATTCGTGCTGTTTAAAAGCTTTATTAAAATCAAAATTGAAATCGAAAGTCGTCTTCATCGTATTGATATAATCGTTTACCACCGTAGTTTCATGTAAAATTTGAATTCAGTATTTTATGCACGAATTTAGGTCTTAAAGGGACTGTAAAGGAAAAATGAAAGGGGTATAGGCTCAAAACTAATCACTTTAGCTCTTGATTGCGACCCAAGAAAGTAATATCTGTTCCTGTCTCAAGAAATTTATTTAAGACTGTGTCAATTGTAGTCAATTTTGTATAGAATTAGTAGGTTTAAACAGATCATATTCAGCAAATACCCAAATCTGAATTTTTAATAGATATAATTGATCATATTATTTATAAGTTTGATTACGTCACAAGAACTTCCACTAATGAGCGTGCAGTATACAGACAGACAGCCTGCACCCCCTTTTATTACTCCTGTACAGTCCCTTTAATGCGCAACCCCTCTTGACAGATTGGCTCAAATTTTGGTTGGGGAACTCTAAAGAACAACGCAAATATGTTCTTATACAGTTAAACTAAAATAAAGAATACATCGGAAGAATTTATCAAATGTCGCCTTGTACATTTTTAATGGGTTTTGCCGCTGAGAATTTTATAACTAGAAGCATAGTATCCCTAAATTTCAGTAATTGTACTGAATGTACTAAAGCTGTCGTATATTTTCTCAAGCTGTCATTCTACAGAGGAAGCTACTCGAAGCTTAACAAAGTGCAGATACATGTAGGTTACAATCATAGAGAAAATAATATACATTAGAGGGGAATTTACTAGAAAAAAGTGTAAAACGGCTAATTTGTTGTACTGTTTCCATACTGCAGGTATACTTCACATATTTATGCCATATAACCTTTTGGGCCCTGGAACATCATTTTATAGAAAATCTAAAATTTTGCCTGAATGACTACTTTTTCCTGTAACAAACTAAATCATTGTTTTGACCCACTTTCAGATTTTAATAACTTTTAGCTTTTTGGAAAGCCTATGGCATAAGAAAACGGATTGCACAAATTTTGCAAAGACATCTTTGCATATTATAGTTTTCTTAATTACACACCAGGTTATTTGAAATTTTCCAAATTTATTTACTTATTTGAAATGGCATGGTCAAGTGCTTTTCAAAAATGTATATTTTATCCTTGGACATTTTTTTTGCCAACATTTTTACTATATAACGGGATTTTGCAAATGAAAATTCAAGTTTTGCAAATTTGCAATTTTTTTTGCAGATACTAAAGTAGAGCATTAGAGCTTTCAAATGATGTATCATTTGTCATATTTGGACTTCAAAAATGGGATTTAGAGGGGGGTCAAATTGACCCCCCCCCCCCAGCGTATCCTGGATTTTAAGTATACCCAAGCACTGATAGGGTTAAAGTCCTAGGTTGAGTGGATTGATATTTTTTTTAGGTTTCCAGTCAAAGCTAAGTTCCCAAGCTGGTTATTTACATCAAATAATAAAGAAAAGAAAATTTACTTGCATTGAATATTGTTCAGATAACCTGGGCTCGGCTTGGGAATGAAGTTGACCCGTACACTGTGCTGACAGCTGGAGATGTTGATATAACAACAGATACTAGAGTATCATTGGAACAACATGACCGGAAAGATGTAAGTTATTAACATAGATGTTAAAAAATAATTTCTTAAATATAATTGAGAAGCTAAAGCTTCTCCCTGCAGTTGTGCCGCATGGTTACGAGCATTATTATTCACAAATGAATTTCTAAGATATTAAGTATGGTTTTACCCCCCCTTCCCCCTCCTCCCACCCTCCCTGCAGGAAAAGTATCTAGAAAGGTGGAGCTCCAAGCAAATATTCTATTAGGTTGATAGAAAATGAATATGCTGAGGAATTTAATAAAACATCGAAGAAGAATAAGAAAAGAATCCTTTCTTTACAACGAGCTGAGAACATAGGCTTATACAGGGGTACAGGAGTACAGGTGTACAGGAGTACAGGAGTACAGGAGTACAGGAGTACAGGAGTACAGGAGTACAGGGGTACAGGAGTACAGGAGTACAGGAGTACAGGAGTACAGGAGTACAGGAGTACAGGAGTACAGGACTACAGGAGTTCAGGAGAGCAAGAGTACAGGGGTACAAAGGGATAATATCGGCATTTAAAAGCATAAAACTGTGCAGTGCATAACCAGTGTAAACAAGGTAGCCTTTCTATTGATTGTCTAAAACTGTCTAAACTAGACGAACAACGAACAACGAGCTAAAGAAAACCATACCACTCATATAGAAAATACTAAACATTTTTGCAAATAAATTCACTATTGCAAATATTTTTAGGAATGGAATCTTATCATTAGATCTTTAAAGAAACAAGATGAAGGACTATATGAGTGCCAAGCAACAACATATCCTCCACAGTACATAGTTGTACGGTTAGAAGTACAAGGTATATCCTCTACAGTACATAGTTGTACGGTTAGACATACAATGTATATCCTCCACAGTGCATAGTTGTACGGTTAGAAGTACAAGGTATATACTCTACAGTACATAGTTGTACGGTTAGAAGTACAATGTATATAATCTACAGTACATAATTGTACGGTTAGAAATACAAGGTATATCCTCCACAGTACATAGTTGTTCGGTTAGAAGTACAAGGTATATCCTCTACAGTGCATAGTAGTAGGGTTAGAAGTACAGGGTTTATACTCTACAGTACAAAGTTGTATGGTTATAAGTACAAGGTATATACTCTACAGTACATAGTTTTTCGGTTAGAAGTACAAGGTATATACTGTACAGTACATAGTTGTACGGTTAGAAGTACAAGGTATATACTCTACAGTACATAGTTGTACGGTTAGAAGTACAAGGTGTATACTCTACAGCACATAGTTGTACGGTTAGAGGTACCAGGTATATACTCTACAGTACATAGTTGTACGGTTAGAAGTACAAGGTATATACAGTACATAGTTGTTCGGTTAGAAGTACTAGGTATATCCTCCCCAGTAAATAGTTGTACGGTTAGAAGTACAAGGTATATACTGTACATAGTTGTTCGGTTAGAAGTACTAGGTATATCCTCCCCAGTAAATAGTTGTACGGTTACAAGTTCAAGGTGTATATTCAAAAGTACATTATTGTACGGTTAGAAGTACAAGGTACGCTGTACAGCCAAAAAAAATAGTTAAATGGTGTACAGTTCACATAAGAAAGGTGTACATTAAAAAGTACAGAGTCGAAGGATGTGAACTTCACAGAGCCCAAAACTTAAGACAGGGTATCGTTCTGAAAACTAGTTCTAAAACCCGTGTTTCACGAATGGGGTTAGGCAGTTTTAAGAATATTAATATTTTTGTTATGAAATATTATTTTATTCAGTTTGTTTATATTCTCAATTTTTTTTGATTCTCTTAAATCAAAATCTACACAAATGTTAAGACCTCAAGAAGGAAACTCGGGAGTTTTGTTCAACGATACTCTTTTAAATTTCGGGCTCAGTGCAAATATAAAAGATGTACACTATAAGTATACGGTCCACAGTACATATATTGTTTGAAGAGTTTACAAAGTAGAAATGGTGTAAATTCTCTACAGCATCCATGCATGGTTTGAAAACAGTTATATATTTATTTAGAAGCATATGCTGAGATTCTAGGAGCTGAGGAGAAGGTATTTAAGACGGAATCTCGAATGAAACTAGTTTGTCAACTCAGGAACTCCACCTCAACTCCTGATTTTATATTCTGGTAAGCTCTTCATTTTATCTTATTGTCAATAAAGGGATTGTTCATGTGCATATATTAGAATTAGGAACATATCCCTTAAATCTACAGCTTAAACATGTTCCTAGGAAATATTTTGACCAACTATATGTGCCGATGGCGAAGATGTCGGGTAAATAATTTTGGAGTTTATATGTTCGACATCGGTTAGTCGGAGACTAAATGTATGCAGGGAAGGGCCAGAATATTCCAATAGATACTTTCTGTTAAAATATTCCTAATGGTTTTGTTATTAAACACAGTTTTATTTTATAAATATTTTCTGCGCAGTGCATTCCGCAATATTTAGAGATGGGCATCTGCAATATTTAGAGATGGACATCCGCAATATTTAGAGATGGTGGCATCCGCAATATTTAGAGATGGGCATCCGCAATATTTAGAGATGGGCATCCGCAATATTTAGAGATGGGCATCTGCAATATTTAGAGATGGGCATCCGCAATATTCAGAGATAGACATCCGCAATATTTAGAGATGGGCATCCGCAATATTTATAGATGGGCATCCCCAATATTTAGAGATGGGCATCCACAATATTCAGAGATGGGCATCCGTATTATTTAGAGATGGGCATCCGCAATATTTAGAGACGGGCATCTGCAATATTTAGAGATGGGCATCCGCAATATTCAGAGATGGTCTTCCGCAATATTTATAGATGGGCATCCACAATATTTAGAGATGGGCATCCGCCCGCAATATTAAGAGATGGGTATCCGCAATATTCAGAGAAGGCATCCGCAATATTTAGAGATGTGCATCCTCAATATTTAGAGATGGGCATCTGCAATATTTAGAGATGGGCATCCGTATTATTTAGAGATGGGCATCCGCAATATTTAGAGATGGGCATCTGCAATATTTACAGATGGGCATCCGTATTATTTAGAGATGGGCATCCGCAATATTTAGAGATGGGCATCCACAATATTCAGAGATGGGCATCCGCAATATTTAGAGATAGGCATCCGCAATATTCAGAGATATACATCCGCAATATTTAGAGATGGGCATCCGCAATATTCAGAGATGGACATCCGCAATATTTAGAGATGGGCATCCGCAATATTTATAGATGGGTATCCGTATTATTTAGAGAAATTATATCAGAGAGTTTATTTGAATGTATATGAGAAAGTATATCAGAATGCATATAAGAAAGTATATCAGAGGGTATGTCAGCAAGCATATCAGAAATTTTATTAGAAAAAAAATATTAGAAAGTATATTAGAAAGTATAATAGAAAATATATTAAAAAGTTTATTAGAAAGTATATCGGAAATTTTTCAGAAAGTAAATTAGAAACTCTATTAACAGTTCGGCTTGCTGCCTACTAGACTGCTCTCTGCATTTTGTATATGTTGGTGCTGTGAAAGGCTTTACGCATTGAAAGGAGGGAAGGCCAAGTATCTACGGCCAGGGTACTAAGTCAAGAAATAGGAATCTACAAGAATAAGGAAGAAAAATAAAAATAAATAAATCTAAGAAAAAGCCAATATATCTAATGATATTCTGGCCTTACACCCACTCAAATTAGCGATCGGAGCCATTTCTGGAAGGGTCCTGTTCCGCAGCTGATTAAAAGACACACTTGCTTAGCGGGTTATTTTTTCTTTAAAAAATCTGTCCACGTGGGAATACACGTTAGCAGTGAGGACTATCGTACATCACATACCTGTAACCCTAACAACCCCATCCTCATCCTCCTACCTCCTAAAATCCAACCTTATCATAGTAGAACTCAGAAACTGCTTTACTGTGGAATCTTTATCAAAACTTTCTGAGAGAGATCATCATTGGTATCATGGGTATTCCTTTCCTGGGGGATACACCTAAATCACTTTGAACCTGCCCGAATGTAGTTAAGGCTAAGAGGTCTTTTAAATTTCTTTCGCAATTACTGCAGACACTGAGACATGTCACTCAATGCAGCTGATAAAGAGAAGTTTTCATTATATCAATGTCAGCAATAAGCCTGCATAGATGGCAAATTTCAAGTTTATTGACAATACAGAGATTTAACGCAGCAAAACAGGACAGTCAGAAAACAAGAAGATAGGAAAACAGGACAGTCAGGAAACAAGAAGATAGGAAAACAGGGCAGTCAGAAAACAAGAAGATAGGAAAACAGGACAGCCAGAAAACAAGAAGATAGGAAAACAGGACAGTCAGGAAACAAGAAGATAGGAAAACAGGACAGTCAGAAAACAAGAAAATAGGAAAACAGGACAGCCAGAAACCAGGAAGATAGGAAAACAGGACAGTCAGAAAACAAGAAGATAGGAAAACAGGACAGCCAAAAACAAGAAGATAGGAAAACAGGACAGTCAGAAAATAAGAAGATAGGAAAACAGGACAGCCAGAAAACAAGAAGATAGGAAAACAGGGCAGCCAGAAATTATATTAGAAAGTATATCAGAAATTATATTAGAAAGTATATTAGAAAGTATATTAGAAAGTATATTAGAAAGTTTATTAGAAAGTATATTAGAAAGTATATTAGAAAGTATATTAGAAAGTTTATTAGAAAATAATAAAGTTTCTGCGAAGTATTCGCGTTCCATGATACAAGATCTAAAGTATATCTGTTGAAAGATCATTATGTTTTATATATATATATATATATCTGAGTCCAGTTTTTGTAAGAAAAGTATATAAAGATGTTGGCTTAAGGCAGTCCATTGGTAAAAGACCTGATGTTTATTGTATAGAAAATGACAAGAGAAGATAGGAAGAAGTGAAAACATGAAAGCGAAGCTTTCAAGTTTATATTTATTTATCATAAACTCAACCTTCTAGCAGATCAAAGCTACCCAGAGCAGTGCCAAGGAGCTTTAACTGTGCATACTATGATTGTTTATTCTGTGTTTTGATATACACTTCTAAAAGTGTTTTTGTTCTTGTTTTCTAAAATATTGAGTTTTCCTATCATTTTGTTATGCCTTCACAAAAACTATTCGATCTTCCTATCATTATGAACTATTTATAAAAGTTATATCAGATTCGGATTTGATCAGTGTATTTAGACATTCTTTCAACGTTTCTTGAGGTTATCTAAGATTTTTTTGAAATTTTATCAATGTGTCATGAAATCCTATCAATTTTTTGTGAAATTCTATTAATGCTTTATGAAATTCTATCAATGTTTCATGAAACTCTATCAATCTTTCATGAAACTCTAACAATGTTTCATAAAATTCTATCAATGTTTCATGAAATTCTATCAATGTTTCATGAAATTCTATCAAGGTTTCATGAAATTCTATCAAGGTTTCATGAAATTCTATCAAGGTTTCATGAAATTCTATCAATGTTTCATCCACAACAGAACCCTTTAAACCTGATCAATAATGTGGAAGATAACGTCAGTTTTTAAAAACCTCGATATCTAGTTCATTCATACTTGAATATTATAAGCTTTGAAGGATACTGTTGAAAATCAGACATGGCATTCTATCATTGAATTGAATAAATGGATTTTTTGATGATCTAAAAAAACTTTATATAGTGGTAATAATTGAAAATAAAAACATCCTTCTTAGCGACACTTATGCAGTAAAATGAGGAACAAAGACGACTTTTATTTATTCTGCTTCTCGTTCTCAGTGGAACATTAGGAGTTCAATCTTACATAAACATTTGAAAAAAGTGGTTTAATTNATCTGTATCTGTATCTGTATCTGTATCTGTATCTGTATCTGTATCTGTATCTGTATCTGTATCTGTATCTGTATCTGTATCTGTATCTGTATCTGTATCTGTATCTGTATCTGTATCTGTATCTGTATCTGTATCTGTATCTGTATCTGTATCTGTATCTGTATCTGTATCTGTATCTGTATCTGTATCTGTATCTGTATCTGTATCTGTATCTGTATCTGTATCTGTATCTGTATCTGTATCTGTATCTGTATCTGTATCTGTATCTGTATCTGTATCTGTATCTGTATCTGTATCTGTATCTGTATCTGTATCTGTATCTGTATCTGTATCTGTATCTGTATCTGTATCTGTATCTGTATCTGTATCTGTATCTGTATCTGTATCTGTATCTGTATCTGTATCTGTATCTGTATCTGTATCTGTATCTGTATCTGTATCTGTATCTGTATCTGTATCTGTATCTGTATTTGTATTTGTATCTGAATCTAAATCTGTATCTGTATTTTTATCTGTATCTGTATCTGTATCTGTATTCAGGACAGCAATGGATCTACTCTAACTATCAGTTCTGTATCTGTATCACAATCTGGAAACTATACTTGTAAACCAAGTAATATGAAACCTGACTCTGTGGTTGTAACTATCCTGGCAGAGAGCAAATCTGCTAATGCACTTCAGGTAAATAATTATAGAGAGGTCAATATTAAGATTAATATCAAGATTAAGTTCAAGATTAAGGTCAAGATTAAGGTCAATATTGAGGTCAAGATTAAGGTTAAGATTAAGGTCAAGGCTATGGTCAAGTTCAAGGTCAAGATTAAGGTCAAGAACAAGTTCAAGATTAAGGGTCAAGATTAAGTTGAAGACTATGGTCAAAATTAAGGTCAAGATTAAGTTCAATATTAAGGTCAAGATTAAGGTCAAGAACAAGTTCAAGATTAAGGTCAAGAACAAGTTCAAGATTAATGTCAAGAACAAGTACAAGATTAAGGTCATGAACAAGTTCAAGTTCAAGGTCAAGATTAAGGTCAAGATTTTAAGGTCAAGATTAAGGTCAAGATTAAGGTCCAGATTAAGGTCAATATTAAGGTCAATATTAAGGTCAAGATTAAAGTTAAGATTAAGGGTTAAGATTAAGGTCAAGATTCAGGTCAAGAACAAGTTCAAGATTAAGGTCAAGTACAAGTTCAAGATTTAGGTCAAGATTAAAGTGAAGACTATGGTCAAAATTAAGGTCAAGAATAAGTTCAATATTATGGTCAAGATTAAGATTAAAATTAAGGTCAAGAACAAGTTCAATATTAAGGTCAAAATTAAGGTCAAGATTAAGGTCAAGATTAAGGTCAAGATTAAGGTCAAGATTAAGGTCAAGATTAAGGTCTTAAGATTAAGGTCAAAACAATGGTAAAGATTAAGGTCAGGATTAAGGTCAAGATTAAGGTCAAGACCATTGTCAAGATTAGGGTCAAGATTAAGGTCAAGATTTAGGTCAAGACTATGGTCAAAATTAAGGTCAAGAATAAGTTCAATATTGGGGTGAAGATTAAGGTCAAGGCTTTGGTCAAGATTAAGGTCAAGATTAAGTTCAATATTGAGGTCAAGATTAAGGTCAAGGCTATGGTCAAGATTAAGGTCTAGATTAAGTTTAAGATTAGGATCAAGAACAAGTTCAAGATTAAGTCAAGACTAGGCACAAGATATTAAGGTCAAAATTGATAATTGTGTTTTGAATCTATCATTACTATTTTCATTTTCACGTATCTAATTTTAATATGATTGTGAATAGAAATGTATGTAAACAATTTTCAACAGACATAAAAGATACTGTTTACCGTTTAAGAACGGTCATGGTCTCTACGCTACAGATTTTACCACTGACGCTCAGTGACGCCTATAACAGCATCGACTACAGAACAGAAAAATCGTAAAGAAAGAATATGAAAACTGTATTTTTACAATTGTACCCTTTCCGTATAAATCCAAAGCGGGTTTCAAAAATTCGAAAGTTAATGTTTATTATCTGTGACTTCTAGAAAGCAAATATTGCTTCCATATAAAACAGTTTTCTAACAAAGATTTAAACAATTGCCATCGTTTTTATAGAGTAATGACATCAGTGAAAGTGGAGTGTCATCTGAAATTATGCCTACACAGTCCCTTTAAATAAGGTCTTTTCGCCCAAATACAGCGTCACAAACTCACCATAAGTAATCCTTTTGCTTTATTTTAAACAACTCAATGAAATTTATTTTAGGATAAAACTTCTGCAGTACCTGGCACCCAAAAGTACGGTGTACAATGTACAATTTTCTTGGTGCACCTATTATTAATGTATAAACTAGTCTAAAATTCTTCAAGTTGAAATAAATATTTAATTGTTACATATAAAACATTTACTTAAATTCTTTTTGTAACATTAATGAATATAATTTTTAGAAATATATTTTATCTTTTGTTTTAGAAAAGTTGTAGAAAAGCACTCAATTCTTGTTGTGGCATTGTGCCACTAATTAAGGGAATTTGTCTTGAAAAGAATAGAAAAACAAATAAATAAAGAAATTGTAAAAGAACTTGAAATAAGATTGTATACATATTATTTATCTCTTATGCACTGTAAACTAAATTGAAACGACATTACTGCAACTAGGAGTTTGTGACCTAGCAGCTCCTTTAGTTTGGATTTTAACACAATTTTAGAAAAAGTACAATTATCCGGTTTATTACCAGACATTCACGAGATTTTTCTCTCAATAGTTTTTCAATGAGAAAAATTGTATTTAAAATCATGTAGGATTTCAATCTTACATGTGATTTACTTTAGTTTGACATGTATATATATCTACGAACTACGTACTTATATATCTGTATAATAAAACAAGACATTCGTATATAAAAATGTTGTATAGTGTATAGTGTTGTATAGTGGGCCAAACGGCTGGACCGATTGGGCTGAAATTATTTTTGGACACTCATTGGTGTTAAAGGTTAAAAAATAGAATTTTTTTTAATATTAAAAAAAAAAATTCGCCGGTCCCTCCAGCTAGTATTTATATATTTAGGTATGTACGTATTAAAAAGCAAGTATCAGAAGTATTGTAATAAGCCTCAAGATATAATTTTCTAATCCCTATATCTTTGCATGCTGACGGTGTAACGAATATTTTTTATAAAATATGATCGAGTTTGTCGGATTGCTGCTCCTTTTCTACGCCACTCAAATCTATAGAAAATAGGAAAACGTCAAATCTATAGAAATTTATAGAAAAACGTCAAATTTATAGAAATTTATAGAAAAACGTCAAATCTATAGAAAATAAGAAAACGTCAAATCTGTAGAAATTTATAGGTAAAAGTCAAATCTATAGAAATTTACAGGAAAACGTCAAATTTATAGAAATTTATTAGGAAAACGTCAAATCTATAGAAATTTATAGGAAAACGTATTCATAGGAAAACGTCAAATTTCAAACTTTGTGACCTCAAATCTCATCTAGTTGTTTTGCAGTTACATCAAATCCAAAGAAGAGTGATTATATACACATATATAATCACAAAGTCATACCATTAATTTCGTATAAATTTAACCTTTTATTAATGTTTACATTGGAATAATCTCTATAAGCATGGCCGGGAATTAGACAAAAGTGTTTTATTTTAAAGAAATGATTTCTCCAACATTATATTTTTTTTAATTCTAATCTAATATCTCTTGATAAAAAGAACTTGTAAAAAGTTGAAATGGTGACCATAGTAATGGTATGGAAGAAGGCAAAGAATAGTGACCAAATACAAAAACTTTTACTCATTCTAAAAAGATATGTATATATATCTATATAATTATATACCAGATACATATTTATACTAGATATATAATAGTATATACATCTAATATTTAAATTTTTTCTGTTTAAATATAATGAAGAATTTTGTGCATTATAGTCGACTATTATACTGAAAAATATCTTAATTTTAGTATATTATTACACTCAAGTTAGTATCAGTTCTAGTATAATATCGGGCTAACAACATCCAGGCTACTATTCCGATTTTTGAGCTGTATTATATTCCTCTTATAGGATGATATTATTGGACTCATAGTCTGAGGTTAAGACCAGAACTATATGTATATATCAGTTTTTAACTTCACATTTTTTATTAAAAAAGAATTATACTAAACATAATGTTTCACGTCTATCATGACGATCCTTAAAATTCTTTGAACAAATATATATGTAATAGCTAAATAAAAGCTCTTCGTTCATATTTATTTGTTTGTATTTATGTTAGCTATAGCTGGCAAAATGGCTGTACCGAATAGGCTGAACTTTTTTAAGGGAACCCTTGAGTACCCCGGAAGTATCAAAGGCTAAAAAATTCAATTTTTTTTAAACCGAGATTTTTTCTCCAAAAATCTAATTTTTTTCTTTAAAATTTGATTTTTAAAAATTCCACGGGCAACGCCGATCACTTCAGCTAGTGTACACATATATATGTAATGTATACAGCTTGCAATACGTACTAGCGTAGGATTCCCGCTTTGCATTAAAAAAAATTTTTCATTTAAAAGTCGACCAACATAATTTACAATTTTTAAACCAAGCAAAGAACATGTCACCCTCGACTAAGCTTTCGGTACGTCCTGCAGTAATTTGCAGTACACTGACCGAAGATATAGTAGAGTGTAGTAGAGAGTGATGTGGGACCATTTTCAACTCTCTACAAAATCTTTTTGTAAAGATAAAAGGAAATATGAGTTTAGATTTTCGTGGTTTTAAGGCAAATCGGTAATAAGGTTAATTAGTTATGATGAAACAAACAAAAATTACTGCTAATTTATTTATAGTGTAGATATAAAAATATGCTAGTTGAATTGCCCACCATTGCCCGTGGAAATTTTTTTAGATCGAATTTGGAAAGAAAAAAATCGATTTTGGAGAAAAAAATATTTCGAACTTTTTTTAGCCTATATTACCCCAAGGGTATTCTAAGGTTCTTAAAAAAAATGTCAGCCCATTCGGTCCAGCCGCGTTATAGCTGACATGTAGATACAAATATATAAATATATAAATACAGGGTGAGTAAAAAAAGTGTGATTTGCGGCGCCTGGTGCAAAATTGTACCTTTTTTGTGCAACTCTCCTGTATCTATGGTGTTTTTACAATTTTTTTGAAAATTGTAATATTTTTTTGGTGGAGTACCAACAGAAAATCCGCGAACCTTTTTTCTCTCAAAAACCAAAGTTCAGAAAAGCAAAAATGTGTATTTAAATTATTTCTATCGAAATCTAAAATTTGCAAAATTGTAATTAGAAAATTCGCAATTTTCAGTTCTGGTCTAATTTTTATGGAAAATTTATTTAAATTCTCTAGTTCCTTTCTTCTTAGTATATTATAAAGTATTAAATATATGCTGTTCAGTGGAAACCTTAAGAAGCATAGAAAAACAATTTTTAAAAATTTCTAATTACAATTTTGCTAATTTTCTGAGATTCTTTGATTCAATCTTTTTAGAATTTAAGATTTCGACAGAAACAATTTATTTACACATTTTTGTTTTTCTAAACATTTGATTTTGAAAGCAAAAAAGGTTTGCGGATTTTTTGGGAAGCATCAAAGTACCAATAAAAATTACAAATTTTCAAAAAATATTGAAATAAACACCATACAGGAGAGTATCTATATACTTTGCTTGTCTGTTTGTTTGTGTCCAATAAACGTCGAAACATCTGAACCGATCGTGACCCCAGGGAAGTTTTTTGTTTGATATATTTCCAGATTGTAAAACACAATCTAATCAGATAATAAATAAACCCCAGCAGAGCTGGTAATTTGACACCTTATTGTAAACCTTTATATTCAACCTTGGTAAATATCGGGTAAACCTATATATTCAACCTTGGTAAATATTGGGTAAACCTACATATTCAACCTTGGTAAATATCGGGTAAACCTATATATTTAACCTTGGTAAATATTGGGTAAACCTATATATTCAATCTTGGTAAATATTGTGTGAACCTATATATTCAACCATGGTAAATATTTGGTAAACCTACATATTCAACCATGGTAAATATCGGGTAAACCTAAATATTCAACCTTGGTAAATATTGGGTAAACCTAAATATTCAATCTTGGTAAATATTGTGTGAACCTATATATTCAATCTTGGTAGATATTGGGTAAACCTATATATTCAACCTTGGTAAATATTGGGTAAACCTATATATTCAACCTTGGTAAATATTGGGTAAACCTATATATTCAATCTTGGTAAAGATTGTGTAAACCTATATATTCAATCTTGGTAAATATTGGGTAAACATATATATTCAACCTTGGTAAATATTGGGTAAACCTATATATTTAACCTTGGTAAATATTGTGTGAACCTATATATTCAACCTTGGTAAATATTGGGTAAACCTATATATTCAACCTTGGTAAATATTTGGTAAACCTTTATATTCAATCTTGGTAAATATTTGGTAAACCTATATATTTAACCTTGGTAAATATTTGGTAAACCTTTATATTCAATCTTGGTAAATATTGGGTAAACCTATATATTCAACCTTGGTGGTAAACCTATATATTTAACCTTGGTAAATATTTGGTAAACCTTTATATTCAATCTTGGTAAATATTGGGTAAACCTATATATTCAACCTTGGTAAATATTGTGTAAACCTATATATTTAACCTTGGTAAATATTGGGTAAACCTATATATTCAATCTTGGTAAATATTGGGTAAACCTATATATTCAACCTTGGTAAATATTGTGTGAACCTATATATTCAACCTTGGTAAATATTGGCTAAACCTATATATTCAACCTTGGTAAATATTGGGTAAACCTACATATTCAACCTTGGTAAATATTGGGTAAACCTATATATTCAATCTTGGTAAATATCGTGTGAACCTATATATTCAACCTTGGTAAATATTGGGTAAACATATATATTCAACCTTGGTAAATATTGTGTGAACCTATATATTCAACCTTGGTAAATATTGTGTGAACCTTTATATTTAACCTTGGTAAATATTGTGTGAACCTATATATTCAACCTTGGTAAATATTGGGTAAACCTATATATTCAACCTTGGTAAATATTGGGTAAACCTATATATTTAATCTTGGTAAATATTGGGTAAATCTATATATTCAACCTTGGTAAATATTGGGTAAACCTACACATGAATTAGATATTAGTTTTCTATGTTTATAATCTGAAAATTGATTATTTTCAAGTATGGTTTTCAACCTTAAAATACGACAATTTCTTCCACATTAATCAGACAAAGCTAGGTATGAAGGGTACCGATTACAAACGTGAATAGGGCATTGCGATATTTTCATGGAGGGTTATTGT